TAAATAAATAAAAAGAAAGATTGCAATGAAAAGTTTTCCTTTCATCCCTCTGTTCCTTCTCCTTCCTCCCAGTGGTCATCTCTCTTGGTAATTTCTTTATGTCCTTTCTGTACGAAATAGGAATATATATTTTTATTTAACTGCCATTATATAAAACATGTCACACTGTACATACTTCCGCATCTTATTCTTTTATCTGATACATCTTTTACCTAACAGATCTTGGAAATCTATCTATTATCACATAAAGAGCTTCTTCGTTCTTTTGTTGTTACCAGCTGCAAAGTAATGCGTCGTATGGATCTACCATAATTCATTTAACCAGACCTTTAGTACACATACATGTTCCAATCCTTTTTTTACAACCAGTGTTGCCCAGAATTAACACGAACAGACGTTACTTCACACATGATCAAATATATCCAGAAGTGAAAGCACTGGGTCACAGGGCACGTGTATGTTGAACCAGGTTATGTACCTGGTAGTGACGCGTGAGAAGGTCTCTGTTCCGCCAGTGGCACCAAAGGCATGTTTCCCGACTTTGGCTTTTGTCTGTTTCACGTGTAGCAGCTTTATATTCAAGAGGCATTTGTATTTTCTTTTACCTGTCTTTGTGTATCCTTTGTTCACTTTCAGCTCTGCCCCTGATCTTCTCAGTGTATAGGAGTTCATACACAGGGAAAATAGTCCTTTGTGATATAAATATTTTTTCCCAATTCTTTAATTTCTTTTGATTTTGCTTATGGTAATTTCTTTCTTTTTTTTTTTTTTTGCCTTATAGACATTTTTGTTTGTTTTTAATGTAATCGGTCCATCTTTTCTTAGAGATTTTCTGATTGTGAATCATAGCCTTGCTTACTCAAAGATTATGGAAGAATTCCGCCTTTTTTATTTTAAGTACTTTTATAGTTTTTTCACGTTTAAGTTTTTGTCATAGTTTTAGAACTTATCCTAGTATGTGGAATGAAGTATGGTTCCAGCTGGTTGGGGTTTTTTTTCCACTGAAATAAATTTTTGTTTCTATGTATTTTCATTTCTGGATTTTATGTTCTGCTCCTATCTGTTCATGAGTTGATCTGTTTTGATACCTGGTAAGATTAGTCCCCTCTCTTTGCTATTTAAGAGTTTGCTAGCAATTCTTTCTTTTTCCTTATAACCTTAAAAATCATCCTTTCTAGGGGCCCTTGGTGGCTCAGTCAGTTAAGTGTCTGCCTTCGGCTCAGGTCCTGGGATCGAGCCCCATGTCGGGCTCCCTGCTCAGTGGAGAGTCGCTTCTTCCTCTCCCCACCCCTTGGCTCATATTCTCTCTCTCGCTTGCTCTCTCTCTCTCAAGTAAATAAATAAAATCTTAAAAAAAAAAAAAATCCGGGGCGCCTGGGTGGCTCAGTCATTAAGCATCTGCCCTCGGCTCAGGTCATGGTCTCAGGGTCCTGGGATCAAGCCCCGCATCAGGCTCTCTGCTCAGCAGGGAGTCTGCTTCTCTGTCTCACTCTCCCTCTGTGCTCTGTCTCTCTCTTTCTCAAATAAATAAAATCTTTAAAAAAAAAATCCATTTTGGGACGCCTGGGTGGCTCAGTCGGTTAAGCGAATCCGGGGCGCCTGGGTGGCTCAGTCATTAAGCATCTGCCCTCGGCTCAGGTCATGGTCTCAGGGTCCTGGGATCGAGTCCCGCATCGGGCTCCCTGCTCCGCGGGGAGCCTGCTTCTCCCTCTGCCTCTGCCTCTCTCTCTCTATCTCTCATGAATAAATAAATAAAATCTAAAAAAAAAAAAATCCCATTTTAACCTGTAAAAGATCTGTTGGTATTTTGATGGGATCAAGTTAAATTTATAAGTTTATATTTTTATAATTATAAACATTATATATGTGGTATATTGTTCCATCAGTTCAAATATTCTTTACTTAGAAACGTTTTTAAGGTAGAAGAATGATAGCATCAGTTTTGCGGGTGCGTGTGGAGTGTGCGCTGTACCAGGGGTTGGAAACACTAAGGCTTGAGGGCTGCTCGTCTCTTCAGGGACACACGTGCGTGAGAACCGAACAGTCATTAAAGGAGTATGTGAGGGGTTTACAGGCAGGAAATCAGCTCCTTTGATGGCTGTATTTAATAGGGATGGAGCACCGAGAAGGCATTACTTAACTTTTTTAGATCGTTTTGTTTCTTACACTTTTTGGGATAATTTGGAATTTATATAAAAGTTGCAGAGATGATCCAGAGTCCCCCAGATTCCTTAATTAGTAACACTCTCAGACCATTTGAGAATAACGTGCGACATGAATACTCCTTACACCAGCGTGTGAAGACTTCGGTACTTCCTGATCACCAGGACCCTCTCCTGCACAGCCGCATCCGGTCATCGACAGCGAGAGATGCACACTGATGCAGCAGCAGCATCTAACCCGCAGACCCTGTTCAGATTTTGCCACTTGTCCCTATAATGCCCTGTAGAAGTCCAGAACTCACTCTAGGATCACATGTTGTGTTCGTTGTCATGTCGTTTTAACCTCTGACCTTCTGGAACAGTTCCTCACTCTCCTTATTTTTTTGTGACCTTGACATTCGGTAAGAGTGCAGGTCAGTTACTTTAAAGACTGCCTCTTTATTTGAGTGTTTCTGACATTTCCTCATGATTTAAAAATGCTGGCGGGAATACCAGAGAAGTGCTCTTGTCCTTTTCTCGGTACATCCTGTCAGGAGGCCCACGATGGAGATTTGTCGCTGTGTCCCATTACTGGTGATATGAGCTTGTGTCCCTTGATTAAGATGGTAGGTCTCTGTAAGGTTTCTCCAGTGTCCAATTAATAAGTATTTTATTAACGGAGTGCTTTGGAGTATATCACTATGAACTCTCAGACTCTTAATTTACTCAGTTATGATTTGCTGTTACTTATTTTGATGCTCAAGCTGTCCCAGATTTGACCAGCGGGAACTCCTACACACTGTCTCGTGGGTCCTTTGGAATGTCCCCATCGTTCTCTGAGTGCTTCCTTACCCTGGCATAGCAGTTGGACGCAGGCCCATCTTGTACTTTCTTTGCCCCAGCCCTAGAGTCACCTGTTTCTCCAAGGAGCCCTGGGTCCCTTTAATACAGTAGTAAAATGATATTTAGAAACTGATGTGTGAGTGCTAGGTGTTTACTGCCATTGCTGCCTGGTCTCCATTGTTTCTAGGCTCTCTTGAGGGACAGAGGGAGGAAAGCTGTACACGCACACACACACACACACACACACACACAAGCATCTGTATCTTTTTCTATATCTCTCTTCCGACCGATCACTCCAGTCCAGTTCTAATTCAACACCACAAGATTTATTCTGGCTTTCTCCCTTTCTATGAGTTAACCTCCTTTCTCCCATCTGTGAAAAACTTGGTTCCCATTATCCTCAGTGTATTTATTTATCTGCTTGACACCCCACCCCCCAGTACCCACACTCCTGGCCCAGAGCCTGTCCCTGGATGGGCCCACTCTCTCTCTCCCAGGCGCTCTGGCCAAAGTGTCGGCTCTGACAGAAGAGGAGAGGGCATGACTTTCCTTTACTTAGACTTGACTCCTGGGAGAAGGACTAGGTAGCAGGGCCCCAAGGGCAAGGAGACTTTGATATACATCCTTTCCTGCCCTTTGACTTTTTTTTTCACTGTGTGCTTTTTTTTTATGACCTGTATAGAAACTAAATGTTTAAATATCATTCAGGATCATTGTTTTCACAGGATCTGTTCACTTAGCTGTTCCCTTCTACATCGTTAGGGAGAATTCAGAGTCTTCCTTTTTTCGTTAAGTGTATTTGGCTCCTTTCTCTCCCATAGGAAATAACACTTGTTTCTATGGGAAGTGTTATTACTGCCGAGAAACAGAGCCAGCTTGTGCTGATGGAGACACGATGGAGGGATCTGTCACACTTTGGCTTCCAGATGTGTGGCCTCTGCAGAAACACCGACACCCGTGGGGCAGGACTTACCGCGAGGGCAAACTGGCCAGGTGAGTGCTCCCGTGAGCCCCCATTTCGTTCTGTCCAAGGAGGTGGGGCTGATGGCAAACCTGCCAGGCAGGGACGCCTCTTCTCTGTGTTTTCAACAGGGCCAGCTACAGGGGCACCTGGGTGGCTTCATTGGTTATGCGTCCGACTCTGGGTTTCAGCTCAGGTCGTGATCTCAGGGTCATGAGATGGAGCCCCATGTAGGGCTGCGCGCTGGGCACAGAGTCTGCTGGGGATTCTGTCTCTTCTTCTGCCCCTGCCCTGCGCTTGCGTTCTCTCTCTCTCAGAACAAAACAGTGCCAGGTACAGGGCTGGCACCCAGTAACCCTGGTGGTGCTCTTTGCCTCCAGGTGGGAGTACGATGAGAGCTACTGCGATGCTGTGAAGAAAACATCCCCCTATGACTCAGGCCCCCGCCTCTTGGACATCATTGACACTGCCATCTTTGATTACCTGATCGGCAATGCTGATCGCCATCACTACGAGAGTTTTCAAGATGACGAAGGCGCCAGTATGCTCATCCTTCTCGATAATGCCAAAAGGTAGGACCACAGGACCATCCTTGTCAGTTAGGGCCTGGTCAGGGTCTTTGCTTTTGGCACCCATCTTTCCATCCTGCTCAGGGTTCGTACTCCTTCTGCCCTCAGGGTTCTGAGGACTTTAAAAAATGGAGAAGTAGGTTTTTTTCCAAGGAGGCCAAGACTCTGTGATTCTCAACACAGACAGCTGGACGCCAAGGTCTTTGATGTATCGCTACCTATATCATTCTTCCTTGACTGTGATGCCTAGAATCTTGAGAGATACATATTGAATAGAACATGAAATTTAGGGGCGCCTGGGTGGCTCAGTCATTAAGCGTCTGCCTTCAGCTCTCCTTGGAGAGAAAGGAGCCAAATACACTTAAGGAAAAAAGGAAGACTCTGAATTCTCCCTAACGATGTAGAAGGGAACAGCTAAGTGAATAGTTTTCCTGGGATCAAGCCCCGCATCGGGCTCCCTGCTCCGTGGGAAGCCTGCTTCTCCCTCTCCCACTCCCCCTGCTTGTGTTCCTTCTCTCGCTGTGTCTCTCTCTGTCAAATAAATAAATAAAATCTTAAAAAAAAACAAACCATGAAATTTAATTCCTGTTAAATTGATTCTATCCAAAGGTTCATGCAGTTTTAAAAAGTAATTTGTTTGATAGGATGTTTTGCTATATTTATGGCAGTCTAGACCCAGACTTTTTGTGATCATGAGAAGAACAGTTCCTTTTGTTATATAAAAACAAGTTACTTTTGTCTTGATTAAGATAATCTTATTTGTTTTGAATAAATGGATGGTCCTTAATTTTTTTAGGGGTGGGCTCTTTGAAGAGCATAATATGTTTTCAGTTTGCCCTGTGCCTTCTCTGTGGTGCCCGATTCAGTACCGTACTTTTAGTGACATTTAGTAAGTGTTTGCTAAATAGACTACTTCCTTGGAGCCCAGAATTGTCCAGGCTCTAGGTCACTACCACTAACATTGGTTGCTGAGAATAATCTGAGACAGGGGTCCTCAGCGAAGAACGGCCGAGCGGCACTTGCGGATGGCGCCCCCACATTACCCCGAGCAAAGGGCTGACACCTGCAGAAAGCGGGCGCCGGCACACACAGCAGAGCTGGTAGAGGCCGGTGCTACGTGCGTTCCTGAAAACCTTTACCGTGACTTACACAAATGATCTTTTTGTGTGTGTTTGTTTAATGAGTGTATGCACTGTGGAAATACACATGGAAATAGTTGTCTTTGCCGTTTACTATTGGAGGGCTGCACTGTGCTCAGGGCCCCCAGACCTTCCAGCTATCACGGTGAGCTTCCAGGAGAGGAGTAGAAAGTTGAGAGTTTTCCCAGAACTGGTTCTCCTCGTGTAACTCTGAATTACTGCTGAGGTCATTTTTACAGATGCTTTGAATTACTGTTCTCTCGGGCGCCTGGGTGGCTCAGATGGTTAAGC